GGTCCTGGGGCATGTTGCCCCGTGGCACCAGAAGCTGACCACGCCGTGGCGTGGTTTGGTGCCGTGTTGGTTGCCGGCGGGGGCACTACAGTACGCAATGTGGCGCATCACGCTGCGGCCCCCTGTGGAGCGGCAGCCTGAAGGAGGCGTCCCGCATCACAGGTAAGGTGCAGGTGTTCCCCCATTAGCGCGCGCCTCCTCAGGTGCACGCGAGGGGGAAGCGTCCCTGCCCAGGTCCCGCACGGGGCCTGTGCTTATCGGGACTTGCCCTCCTCCTCGCTGCCAAAGCCCCGCATGGGGCTGGCAGTGGGTTCCAATGGTCCACCCAATATCCACATACACGCTTAGTGCTCACACTCCGTCCCTCTCCATTCCTTCGCCCCCTGTCTCTGCATCCTCCCCTGGCCATCGCATCTCTCCGCCTTGTCTCCGCGTTGGCCTCGTGCGCTATCCTATCTAGCCCCTGCGAAGATCACCATTTTTCCGCGCCGCGGACGGCCCAAGCACCGCTGCCACGACCGACGTATCGGCAATCGGGCTCCCCTGCGGCGAAGTCGGGCCTGTCCTTGCACAAGAAAATAGTCGGGGGACGGTTTTTCTTTAACCATTGTTGAGTAATGTTGGTTCTCTTTTGACCATGTGTTCATGCCCGACCTGACCCTACGGGGTCGCTGCTGCACGGGCGGGGTGGGGTTACGCCATGACGGAAGGCCACCCGGCGCGCGCCTTTTCCAATCCCCGCCCGGACGTCACCGCCGGCAGAGCTCTGGGCGGCGCGCAAGGCGCTCCAGTGCGCCGCCCTGCGGCTGACGCTGGTCGCGGACCACGAAGAGTTGGCGGCAGGGCTTCATCAATGCGATGCGCGGCTCTGCCGAGGCCAGCAGCGCCAACGTGATGCTAACCTGGACAGCGATGCAACGACTGGGCGAATGCGAGGGCAGTGCCAGGGCAGGAGGAGAAGCATGCAATATTGTGGCCCATGGTCAACAAGCAAGCAGCTGAAGTGCACCTCGAAGCATGTGCGGCAGGTCCTGTCCTGCACCGCCACTGCCCACGCTGGACAGGCGCAAGGTGTCTTTGTGTACGCGCCGCCTTCGGCCTTGACCTCTGCCTCGACGACAAGGGCTTCCGATTCCGACCTACCTAGAGGGGGACACCGACATCTACACAGGGCCGCCTTTGCTGCACAGGTTGTTCCTGCAGGGCTCGCGGGGGACGTGCTGCTGCGCTGTGGAGGAGGGCCCGACCGCGGTTTAGGCTGAGGGTGCGCGCCTGCCCGGCCCGTACGCTGGAGACACGCAGGCAGCGCGAGCTCCCCCTGGACCCCTGGCCTCCTCCCTGGATGCGATTGCGACTGCTGCCGCCCTCCTCCTCCTCCTCCTCCTCCTCCTCCTCCTCCTCCTCCTCCTCCTCCCTCCTCCTCCTCCTCCTCCTCCTCCTCCTCCTCCTCCTCCTCCTCCTCCTCCTCCTTCCTCCTCCCCTCCTCCTCCTCCTCTCCTCCCTCCTCCTCCTCCTCCTCCCCCTCCTCCTCCTCCTCCTCTCCTCCTCCTCCTCCTCCTCTCCTCCTCCTCCTCCTCCTCCTCCCCCTCCTCCTCCTCCTCCTCCTCCTCCTCCTCCTCCTCCTCCTCCTCCTCCTCCTCCTCCCCTCCTCCTCCTCCTCTCCTCCTCCTCCTCCTCCTCCTCCTCCTCCTCCTCCTCCTCCTCCTCCTCCTCCTCCTCCTCCTCCTCCTCCTCCTCCTCCTCCTCCTCTCCTCCTCCTCCTCCTCCTCCTCCTCCTCCTCCTCCTCGCTCATCCTCCTCCTCCTCTCTCCTCCTCCTCCTCCTCCTCCTCCTCCTCCTCCCTCCTCCCTCCTCCTCCTCCTCCTCCTCCTCCTCCTCCTTCCTCCTCCCTCCTCCTCCTCCTCCTCCTCCTCCTCCCTCCTCCTCCTCCTCCTCCTCTCCTCCTCCTCCTCCCCTCCCCTCCTCCTCCTCCTCCTCCTCCTCCTCCTCCTCCTCCTCCTGGCAGTCGTGCGGCGCCGTGCAGCGGGGGAGGCCGGCGCAGCCCACGAGGTGCGGCGTGCCTCGGTTATCACGGGCTCCCCTCCTCCCGGGTTGCCGACCCTTGCCTTTAGGTTGGCTCGTTTGGCCACGGTGGCCACCATCTTGCCAAGTGTTGCGATGATGATGATGATGATGATGATGATGATGATGATGATGATGATGATGATGATGATGATGATGATGATGATGATGATGATGATGATGATGCTGATGCTGATGCTGATGCTGATGCTGATGCTGATGCTGATGCTGATGGCTGATGCTGATGATGATGAGATGATGAGAGGAGGAGAGAGGAGGAGGAGGTGGAGGAGGAGGAGGAGGAGGAGGAGAAGGAGAAGGAGAAGGAGAAGGAGAAGGAGGAAGAGGAGGAGGAGGAGGAGCAGGAGCAGGAGGAGCAGGAGGACGAGTATCAGGAGGAGGAGAAGGAGGAAGAGGACGAGGACGAGGACCAGGAGGAGGAGGACGAGGAGGAGGAGGAGGAGGAGGAGGACGAGGCGGCGAAAGTTGGCGGTTGGAGATCCAGCTCGCGGAGGTGTGCTCCGCCGCCGAAGCGGCGGGCTAGGGTTGGTGCCGCCTCGCCGTCTGCGGTGTCCCAGTCTGAGTCTCAGAGGTCGTACGCGGCGCCGGACGGCCCTCCCAGGGGCGTGGGCGAGTTGGCCAGGAATTTGTAGCGACCTCCAGCGTCGCTCCTGCGATTGCCTTCCCAGTTGAGGCCAAGATGCGGCCAGAGGCCACGCGAGGGCACACCCGTAGACAACCATGAAGGCTGGACAATGCCTGGCTTGCACGGGCTGCGACTGCCAATCACAAGGTTGGTCGAGTGGGGCTGTTCTCTTTGCATCTGATCCTCCAGCGTATCAATTCTTGCATAAGAGGAGAGAGGGCGTGGCCATCCTCAAAGAGCGTGGCAAGCCCACCATTTCTGAGACCTGGGTTCATAGAATGTGAGCATGGACATCCCAAATGACAATACCATGCTGGCCACGGATGTTGAATGCTCATGGATAGCTTTCGTTTGATTGCGTTCGCACGCGCGCTTGGGTATGGAACGTCACTCGTCGATGGGCGCCTCGAGCCTGGGTAAAGGTCGTCTTATCATTCGTGCAACGCCCGTCCGCAATAACAGCAGTGCGTGCTTGAGCGCTTGGCGCCCATGTTCGCCCATCGTCATCATGTCGGCGGCGGCGCGCCCCGCTGCTCGCACTTACGCGGCCACAGAGGCCAGCGCAGTTTGCGTGGTGCTCGGCAGCACAGGCGCCCAAAAGGCGGGCAGGGGGCTCCACCGCGTAAATCTCGCCGCTCCCTTTCTCACCCTGGGCCTAGATTGTCAAACTAAGGAAGAAGCACACATAAACATAGTCATGATCTGCATCTTCATCAGAACCATCACAAAAGCATTGACATCCTCATTGTTATCCATTTCATCGCCGCCATCATCGTCGCAGTCCGCATCATCACTGTCGTCATCGTCGTCATAATCAGCACAATCATCATCAGCATCATCACCATCATCATCACCAGCATCAGCATCGTCATCAGTATCAACAGCAGCATCAGCATCACCATCATCGTCCCTTCTCGTCCCTCCTTTATCCTTCGCTAACTCCTCCTCATGCAATCATCCATTTCTGGCAGAGGCTCCGCCAGGACCCGGCCAATCTTGAGAGACCAGCACCAATCGTTCTTCGTTCCCTCCCGTCCCACCCCTACCCTACCCTCCCATCCCTCATGGTCATCCTCAGGTCCCTCTTCCCTCCACCTCATCCTCATCCTCCTCCATCCTGTCTCCTCCTCCCTCCTCCTCTTCTTCCTCCTCCGCTGAATCATGATCCCGCTGCAGCGCTGGCCTCATTTCCGCGCTTCCGCTCGTTCCGAATCGTGCTCCCGCTGCAGCGATGGCGTCATTATTTCGAGTGCCATACCCTGGCATGGGTTTCGGTCCTTCCGAATAGGCTCCAAAATCTAGAAAATGCCCCCCCCCCCCCCCGGAAGAAACGATTTGAAGTGATTACACCTTCGGTGTCGATTCGTTGATTTTTGGGCCGCAGAAGCCCCCCCCCACACCTTGGAGCGTCGCCACGCCATGCTATGTCATGCTACGCTTTGATCTTCGACACCATGCTATGCCATGGAATGCTATGCCAGATGCCATGCTACGACATCCGATTGTGCGAATGGAGAGGAGATCTACGCCATGGTAATGGATGGGAGGGAGGGATAGGACGTCAGATATGACGTGAGCGCACCTAGCTTGTTCCGTACCCCTCCCTTCTCCTCTCGCGTTTCCTCCCCAACCCACTCCCTGATCATCCTGCTTGTTCTCATCAGCCCGTCTGCTGCTCATGTATGCAAACCTGCTGTCCCATCCCCTTCCACGCGACTTAAGTATTACGCACCTCCACGCCATCATCCGCTCCTGCATGCCTCTGCACGATCGACATGTAACCGATTTCTCTGATCCCCCTCATTCATCCGTCCTCCACGTAATCGGCACGTCTCGTCCCCCTCTGCATTCTTACCCGCATCATGCTCATGTGTCACCTGCCCTCCTGCCCCGATCACTCCTCGATTCGTTGCGCAATCAGTTCTGCCCTCCTGCCCCGATCACCTCTTCATCTGCCCTCCTGCCCCGATCACTCCGCCCCAGACATCCGGCTGCTCCAATTTTTTCGATGCGTGGGCCCCGGAAGTCCGGACCACTTCCTTGGGACCGGTTTTTCGTCCTCAGTCGTTTGTTGACGCTCCCGAGGCCCGGCGAGGGCCCCTGGAGGCCGAAAACTGCCCAAAACCGCCAGCTCCAATTTTTTTGGAGCGTCGGATCTCAGGGACCTCTTCCTCTGCCCTCCTGCCCCGCTGCCCCGAATGCTCCCTGCTCGCCCGACCACGGGGCGCGGCCCGGGCCGGCCCGCCGGCGCCGGGCCCCTTGGCCTGCCGAGGCGGTGCCCGAGGGAGTGGAGGCCGCTGGGGCGCGGAACGCCCACGAGGAGGAGGGGCGAGGAGGGGGCGGGGACCCAGCGGGCCCGGAGAGCCGAGGCTCCCAAAAAATTGGAGCTGGCGGTTTTGGGCAGTTTTCGGCCTCCAGGGGCCCTCGCCGGGCCTCGGGAGCGTCAACAAGCGACGCAGGACGAGAAACCGGTCCCAGGGAAGTGGTCCGGGCTTCCGGGGCCCACGCATCGAAAAAATTGGAGCAGCCGGATGTCTGGGGGGGGGGGCAGGATGGCAGGGGGGGGGACTTCTGCAGGTTCTCGAGGGCTTCCAGGACGAGCTTCCCAGAAGCTTCCGAGGCCCCCCCCCCCCCAAGAAGCAGCCCTCGCGGAACGGCCGCCCCCCGTCGCCTTCCCCCCCCCCCTTCTCGGTCGGACGAGGGAGGAGGGAGTAGGAGGAGAGGAGAGGAGGAGGAGTAGGAGGAGGAGGAAGAGGAGGAGGAGGAGGAGTAGGAGGAAGAGGAGGAGGAGGAGAAGAAGGAAGAGGAGGAGGAGGAAGAGGAGCGGGAGGAGGAGAGGGAGGTAAGCGAATCAGCTCGCGCGCGGCTGGTTGCCCCGGCGCCTCCTGGCGCCGAGAGGCGCCGACGTATCGAGGAGGAGCGGTCGGCGATGGGGCGGAAACCAGAAGGTGGGGGGTCCCAGGGGGGGGAGGGGCATGGAGGGTCACGGTAGGTTTAAGTCGGGCATGTCCTCCCCCCACGGGCGGATCTTGGACGACAAATTAAAGATAGTAAAAGATACATTCAGAATTGTCCACAAAAATTCCAGATAAATCGTCCCCATATTATTTCTTGACTATTTTTGAACATGCCCCCGGTAGAGGGACAGGCCCGGCTCAACGGTAGACTCGTGCCGTGGCGACGTGGCGGCGGCCCCGCCGCGGGCAGGGCGAGAGGCGGAGCGCCGGCGGCGGCCCCGGATGGGCCAGCACGGAGCGAGCTGGCGACCGAAAAGCCGCCGATCGTTCGAATGATCGTTTTTCCCAAGCATCCTGTGGTGTCGGGCCCTCGTTTTTCAGGAGGGACAGAAACACACAGACACGATTAATCCTCGATTCCCCAGAAAATATAGGAAAATTGGAATCCTTTTATTTGTGTGCATTTATTTGTGTGTCCCAGGGCCCCTTCAGAACAGCCGCCGATCGTTCGAGTGATCGTTTTTCCCAACCATCCTGTGGTGTTGGGCCCTCGTTTTGAAGACAGCGCCCCGCGTCTCACCTCACCTCACCTTACCTCCCTCCCTCCTCCCCCTCCTCCCTCCTCCCACCCGCCTCGTCATCGTCATCGGCGTCAGCATCGTCGTCATCATCATCGCCGTCGTCATCGTTCAAGCGATCGTTTTTTTCTTCACTGCTTTGCCGATCGGCGCGGGCCCTCGCACCCCTCCCCTCCCCCCCCGCCCCCATGGAGTAGATCTTGGCCCTTTTAGGCGCCTGCTTCAGGCAGGCGGGGCCTCCCCCACAGGACGCACGGCTGCAAACAGCCGCACGAAGTAGAGGTGCGCAGCCGGACCCCCCGTCTCCCCCACCCCCCCTTCCGCTCAATGCCGAAACGCCGAGTAAGCAAACGCTCCCCCCTCAAGTATGAACGGCCCACGCGGTGGCAAAACAAGCTAACGCCGGTGTCGTCTCGACGCGACCCTGCCGTCGAGGGGTGACGGGGGATTTCGAGAGTGAGCCAGCCTCGAGGTCGTCGAAGAACGACTCAGGAGGAAGAACCGGTCCCGGGGAACGGGTCGGGACTTCCAGGGACCCCGCCCCGAAAAAGCCAGGACGTCGCATGTTGGGGTGCACTTGTTCGCGGCGAGGACCATCCTGGGGCATCTGTCGGGGGTGGACAGACCTCCTACCCTGACACGTCGATTAGTGAATTGTCCGTTTTCGGTACTCGAGAGGGCGCCGCGGCCGTCATTTTCCAGGCTTGCGCCCGCCAGGTTTGGGCCCGAGGCCGTTTTCACTAAATCACGTCTTACTAGAGGGAGCTGCCGCCTTGTGAGCTGGCCCGGCCGGCTTCTGTCGCGCCCAGTAGCTAATTAGGCTTGCCCGTCGGCCCGGACACCCTGTTCGCCGCCTGCGGTCTTCGCTCGCGGCCGCGACCAAAAAAGTTGTACTAAAGGGAGGTCTGTTCATCCCCGAATCTGGGGTCCTCCCTGCGAAGGGCAGGCGCACGACGCCGAGCAGAAAATGCACGCGGCAGGGACGTCCAGTCCACGTGCCCTCGCTCCGAGGCGGGAACTTATCAGGAAGAAAAAAAAACACAGACACAATTAATCGTCGAGTCCCAGGAAAATATGGGAGAATATGGGCAATGGGGGGGGAAGACAAAAACCAATGAAATATAAGGAAAGACGGGGAATATTTTTACTTGTGTGTACTTATTTGTGTGTCCTGGGGCCCCTTCAACCTATCCATGACCACCGCCTGGGGGGGCGATCCATGGCCACCGCCAGGGGTCGAGAAGTGGCGAAGCGTCCCGGCTCGCCTATAGCCCCACCAAGCAGTGTTCTAAGAGCCTTGTGTGGCTCCCACGAGATGTTCTTAGAACGTTTCTGGCGGGGTCGGTCTGGCTTTAACACATCGGGCTTGTGCTCTAAGAACACTGTTCTTATTCTTAGAACATATTCGGGTTCTACAGTTACCAGCCTGGAACATATCCCTATCCCTATGCTGGGCACCTCCTCATCACGATGCCAAACTTAGGGATCCCCTTATTTTTTGAGGGCGAATCCCTAAGATTGTCATCGCCTTTTGGCGTGTCAATCTTAGGGATAGGGATACGTTCGAGGCCGGTAGTAAGAACATTTCGTGGTATGACTATAGGAATGCCGGGACGGTCGGCCCCTGCTCAATGGGGGGGCGATCTTCGCGGACCTCCACGGGCGGTGGACACGGCTATCTTCGGGCCCCCGGGGGCCAACACATACATCCGTACCCGCCGCCCTCCTCCTCCTCCTCCTCCTCCTCCTCCTCCTCCTCCTCCTCCTCCTCATCCTCCTCCTCATCCTCCTCCTCCCCCTCCCCCCCCCTCCCCCTTTCCCTCCCCCTCCCCCTCCCCCTCGGGACGTCGGTTCCCGGGCGGTGGGTGTGGACAAAGTGCCGCCTCGCTCTGGCCTCCAACGGGCGCGAGCGAGAGGCGGAGGCTGCCAGGAGCAAAGCCATCGGAGAGGCCGCCCGCGGCGTCGTAGAGGCCGCGACCCCCCTCCATGAGGGGGGGGCATCTTCCCGGCGCGCTTGGCGGCCGCCGGCGGCCTGTCGGGGTCTCCTCCCCCGCGCCCCCGCAGCATGCCTCTGCTTTGGAGCGTTGGGTGCACAAGTCTACAGTGAGGGCGCGCATCAAGAAACCATATCCTGGGTTTCTTCGCTCCTCGCGCTGCGCGGTGGCTTCCCGCAGCCACTGAAGGAGCCTGCTGCGTTCAGGGTGCTCCGGGTTTCCCCTCAGGTGCACCTCGCGCACGGGCTCTCAGGGTTGGGTTTCTTGCGAGGGTTTCTTGCGGCCGCGCCCGCACTGTAGGCTTAAGTCGGGCCTGTCCCTCTTCAGGGGGAATGTTCAAAAGTAGTCAAAAAAAGTAGTCTGGGGGATTATTTCCTGAGTGTCTTTTGGCCACTTTGGAGTATGTTTTGAAGATGTTTGATTTTTCGTCAAAAATACCCCTGTGGGGGGACACGCCCGACCTAAGTCTAGGCCTTCCAGATGGGGTCATGGGGTCGGCGGATTGCGCCGCATCGCCGATGCATCGCCGATGCGGCTCGATGTGGAGCCCGATTTGCTCCACGTCGACGTCGCCGATGCATCGCAGACGTCGACGATGCATTGGCGATGCGGCGCGATCCACCGACCAGATGTATTCCGACCCCATCTAGGAGGCCTCTAAGGAGCCACCTCCTCCTCCAGCACCGCGCCCTTGCCCAGCCAGGAAGATCGGGAGACCACTGCCTTTCTGGACCCGCTTGTCCCTCAATCGCTTCGGGACCTCTTTCTTCTTCTCAGTTCCTGCCTCCTCGCTCTCCGTGTCCTACTCCTACTCCTCCTGAACCTCCTCCTCCTAAACCTCCTCCTCCTCCTCCTTCTCATCCTTATCCTCCTACTCCTCGCCATCATGCGTCACCATCCTCATCCTCATCCTCATCGTCCTCTGCATCCCCTTCCACTGCCATGTTTCATCCTTCTTCCCCTGCTCGCCCTCGCATTCCTCGTCCCCTGCCCCCCCCCCACCCCCAATTGTTTGTCTGCGGCCAGGGAGGGGCCCTCGCCAGCACTGCCAGGCACGACGACCCGCCAGGGCTCGGCGCCGCGGGTGGGGCGGCCTGGGGTTCCGCAAGCGCCACCGCCCCGCCCTTCGTGGGGCATTCCCTGCGGGTGGAGTTGGGCTCGGTGTCCCGCGCGTCCGGTGTCCGGGGCGGGTCTGGGAATCGGCTCTTGTCGAGGGATGGGCACATGATCAGGGTGGGGTGAGGGAGGGAGGGAGGAGGGAGGAGGAGGAGGAGGAGGAGCAGCAGGAGGAGGAGAGGGAGGGAGGAGGGAGGGAGGGGGAGGGAGGGAGGGAGGGAGGGAGGAGGAGAGGAGGAGAGGAGGAGGAGGGAGAGAGGAGGAGGGGAGGAGGAGGAGAGGAGGAGGAGGAGGAGGAGGAGAGGAGGAGGAGGAGGAGGAGGAGGAGGAGGCAGAGGAGGCAGAGGAGGAGGAGGAGGATTTTTTTTTCCATGCTCGGGCCATACGCACGCGGCTCTGGCCAGTCACCCTCCAGGTGGGGTGGCCTGACGGTGCCTGGGCGTGCCGAGTGGCGGGGACCCAGGACAGAGACCGTCAGGCGGGTGGCCCCTCACAAGCACGCAGCACCGCCGAGATGGCGGTGGGGCTTGGACGGGGGCCTAGTCCGACTCGTCCTCGCCGAAACCCACAGGAGGGATGAGCGGTTCCCCATCCTCCTCTTGGCGCCTGCTGGAGTGCAGCTGGCGCACGCGTCCGGCCTCGGACCGC